AGCTGTAATTATAAAATACGGAAGACCAACCAGAATATAATTAAGTTGCGTTATTTGAGTTAAGCATTGTTCTCCGCTGTTAAGGCTTTTACTTTTTTGAAACACGTGTGGAGAAGTTAATTTGATTTTTCAATTTCAACTGAGAAGGGTACCTACAAGTATCAGTATCATCTTATGAAATTTATATGATTTTATTTTTATATTAATCTCAGTTCGACATTTTTCCATAAATGAAATATCAAAATTAATAATAAAATGAATGCAAATACAAATAACAGTAGAATGTAATAAATGTACATAAAATTATAGTATTTTATGTACAATTCTGATAAAATTTCATAAGAAAGGTACCTATAAATTAATTAGATACCTTTCTTAAGAAATATGAAATTTAATGTCACTCTTAACAGTTTTATTTTAATTTCTTTACAATATATTTCCCATAAAGCATCATAAACGTAAAGGTGAAAGCTAAGTACAAAAAAAAAAAAAAAATTAGACCGCTGAAAGTTTTCGTTAAAAAAAACAGGGCAAATAATTTGTTCACGTAAATGTAAATTATTTCACTTTTCTCCTTCCGTAGAACAAATTAGCCTCATGGAATTCGTAAATATATCATTCATCACATGTCAAGAGACGCGAAAGTTTATGACCTGCTTTGTTTTATTTTCAAATTACATCTTTTTGGCACAAAAGCTAAGTTAAGTTTGGTTCAAAATATTTTAAATAAACATTATAATTTCTGATTTTCTTAAAATAAGTTTTGAAAAAATGATAATTGATATTTAAAAAAATTTCAAAGTCAGATTTCCAGTTTTTTTTAAAATGGAAAAAAATGGTCAATTTTGCTGACTCAAAAAAAAAACTAGATTTTTAACGAAAATTTCGGACGTGCTAGGAACGATTAAAAAATGGAAAAAAAATACCCCAAAAATACTTTGACCTTTCCTCTTAATAATAACAAACATTTAGACGATAAAATTTTTTTTTCGTCAAGTTTGGCGTCTTTTTCATCATGCTATGCTCTTTTTTTAGCGATCTCATGGAGGTACCTACTGTAACTAGTATTCATCATTTATAGCTGAATACTGATCTGGTTTAATATTGGGAGATGATTGAGAACAGGTGCTTTTAACATCACTTGGTTGTAAGCACCTAAGATAACATTTAATTCTAAAGTTATTTCATTGAATTTCTCAAATTTTAATGACTTTTCTGTTAAAACCAGTAGTTTATGAAAAAAAGAAAAACCATGACTTTTTCCTTTGAATTGGCAAAATCATTTACTTCTCAGCAATTCTGTTAAGACCAAATTCAACATTTCTTTTAGATCTTAGAGCAGCAGTGCACCCGGATGCATTAATGTGCCCTGGAATGTTACCAGGTGCACACCAAGTAAGCAGAAGAGTAATTTATGAATTATTTAAAAAAAATCCTTATTTTTTTAAAAACTATACACACCAAGCAACTGTAATGTCTTAAAAATAAATGCTTATTTCAGGAGACTTCTATAACATTTTACTATTTTAAATTTCATGACTAATTTTTACTTATTAAAATTTAAAGTGCGCCACAGAGTTTTAGTAAATAAAGGTTTAAAAACACTATTTTAGAGTATAGTTCAACTTTATACAAAAATTAATGGCTTAAAATATCAGGTTAAAAAAATTTCAACAAGGAGATTCATAGAAAAATCTCTTGTAAAGGAATCTAAAATCTATTATTTTATGTAATTAGCATTGGATCATGAAGAGCTAAACATGTACATTTGTGCTGAGAGTTAGCATCCAATAAAGAATCAGTATTTTCTAATTCAAGTGAATATATAATCAGTAATCATGTGCATGTACATCATATTTCAAATACTAGTAGCCAGAAATTCTGCCTACTCTGCTAATAAAATATCTTACAATATTTTCCTTAATGTCTTTTTTCTTGAGCAAGACTCCTTCAGCTGTTTTTACCAAAGTCATGTACAGAATATTGATCAGATTATTTTAAGATCTTTTATAATTTTAAAGGCACTTTTTTCTAATCTTTTATTCAAGTTTTAATTTGTTTCATGTTTGTTTCTCTTGTATCTTGGTAGTATCTTTCCATTTTTACCATTTTCTGAACCAAATGATATACACTGTAAATTTTACAATTCGTCATCTTATTTCCCATCCAGTGATGCACATGTTTAAATCTGTCAGAATTAATCTTTGCTGAATAATTTTGTTAGATGTACTATTTAAAGTACGGAATAAAAGATAAGCTTAATAGTAGAAAGGGATGATCTACTGATTTAAATGTCTTTTTCTTAACCTTTTACCTGTGAGTGACCAAATGCATTAGTTTTTATTTTTATTATAATTGATAAGGGAAACTCTTCCTCTTCCATTTCTTTCTTTACCATTTTGAAATAGGCTAATTTCCTTTGTGTTTGAATCTCTATGTACTATTTACTGACAATGATTATTTTAGTGTTACATATTTGTAGCTGACACATGAGCTGCCTGGTGTGTTTAACAGCAGTTTTAAAAATTGAAATATGATGATTTCAGATAAAAGCCTAATTTATTTTTGTTAATGACTTTATTTTATTTCAGAGAAATATTGTGTGTATATGTATGTACACACACACACACACACACACACACACATATATATATATATATATATATATATATATATATATATACACACACACACACATATTTATGAGCAAAACCTTTTTCCTTTATTTCAAACATTACCTGCATTTTTTTGTCTGCTACTCAAGTATCAATTTTATATCATTGCAAAGATTAAATTTTCAAGTTTTATATATTGAATACATTTTAGGTTGCATCTCAATAAAAGTGTTGAAGTGATGACATCTGTTGTTGAATGATTGTAGTTGCAGCTTGAATTTGTGCAAGCCGCAATAACCAACCATTACTGTACTGGGTTCTTGTATTTGTTGAATGCTCCAACTATTGAAAAGGAATTGTAAAATTTGGCATTCTATCCAACCTCACCTTTCCCAAGTGTTTATATGACCTGATTATGTCTCTTCTTTTGGCAACCTCCCTACAAAACCACTTTAGTAGAATCTTGATCTCTATTGACTGACTTATAAAGACACATGGTTTTTATGAAATAGTTTTTGATGAGTAAATGTAAAGTCAAGTAATATCTGGAATGTCTGTTGTTGAAAATGAAATGGCAATGTTTGGGCACATTGTCAATAAAGAACCTGGCATTGTGATCCTGACAATCTACTAGATCATGGATAACTTGATTTTTCAGTGACAAACTTAGAAATTGAAATTAAAGATTGACACGTGATTTTCAATTAATGTCTTTGGCCATTTTTGTAAATTTCTTCAATTATTTCTAAGAAACAATTCTAAGACCAAAATTAATGCAAACTTCCAAGAATTGGCATCTGTCTATATTTCTGAGATGAGGTATTATGTACACTATTTACATTATTTGGACTATTGTCCTCATTTTTGTCGCCATATTTATTACAATGTTGCAGATGGCAGGAATTCCTGTCATTGCAGTTTTATGATGAAAGTGTGAAAGAAATTTCTGCAGCGGTTGATGGATTAATAATCCTTATGCATTCTCTTCATGCTCAAAACTTTTGCTTTACACAATTCCTAGTTCCTATCCACATCACAAACACAGGGCCACTTGACAAGAATTGCATAAATTTAAAAGAAAGTTGAATGCATTTTTAGAGACTGATAACATAATGTTAAAAATTAAAAAATTAATTGATGTGCCATAAATACTTTCTCATAATCAACAGTTGCTAATATTAATTGTTTTTTTAGATGAAAAACTAGAATGCATGTTTCTATGTAGAGCCATTGACATGTTTCTATTCTTTGTGACAGAATTGAAGGTGATGAATAAGAGATGTGTATTGAAGGTTTTATTGCACTGATTGTTGAACATGTTTGTTGTGCAATGAATAGTGCTTGTCTTGAAAGCTACTATCTCCAAATATTAAAAAAAACAAATGACCTTAGTAAAGACAAATGCTGTGTTTGTGTCCTGGAGAAGGTAAAAGATTTGATGAAAGGAGATTAAAGATTATAAAAATAGTTTTAAAAACATTTACAAACCTGTTTTTATTTTTCCTCCAAAATGGAAGTTGTATAATTTTTAGCACAAGGCCAGTTTTCTTGAGCACTTAGCAAAAATCAAGCTAATTCTGTTGCTTATAAGACAATCACATGAATCATTATACTACCAGAAGTGTTCTGTTTAGATACAAGAGAGAAGCATCTTTATTCAGAGCTTTGGTATTTTTAACTAACTGGGAAATATATGAATTTTACTTAAAAAACAGTAAGCAAAGCTCAAGATGACAATGTCCTTTTGATACTTTTCTTTTACAAAACAAAATATAATTATAGAGAAGTGGTTTTGTAGATGGATCTTGATCATAAATATGAAGCCTTTAATCTTAATTTCCAGTTAAGCAAAATAAATTCTATAATGTGTCTGAGTTTTTAATATTGCTAATCTAGTAACAGTGTCTGAAAGTTATCATTTACAGTTGAGAAAATCACAGAAATTTCCATATTTGCAATTAATATTTGTTAGCATTTTGTGTTTTTTTTTATATTGCAAGGATGCTGAGTGAGCCTTAGTTATAGTTTATGGAAGAGAGACCACACAATCTGGCATGATCAATTAATAGGTTCATACAAGAAAGAATCAATAACTGTTTATTTTTTATCTTTCCACAGGAAAAAAAATACATGCTTTCTTTTGGCAGCTGTTTGATTTGTACAAAAATGAAGACTTTCACCTTCATGTTTTTCTATTGTTATCCAAAGGTTTTAATATGTGATTACAATTTTTTTTTTTTTTTATTGCTGTTGTGTTGAGAATTTCATATTGAAGAATTATTGGATTTTTGATTTGTCTTAACACTTTAATCATTCAAATATTGTTTTTTTGTAATTATTTTAAGTATTTATCAGCCTTTTCATTGTATTGCTTTTCATTTCTAGAACCTCTCATCAAAGACTGGCGATGAAATCAGCGTTACTATGGGACAAGATATTATCCGTATCACAACAGAAAATCTGGTAGGTTCTTTGTTTTGTCCAACAAGCACTTTTATCAACCAACAATCTACTTGGCTAAAATTTAATTCCCTCATCATTGTATTATTCTGAAGAAAAGTAATTCTTTTTCATTAAATGTTACAATTCCAACCTCACAATTTTATCTCTGCAAATGTTTCAAGTATGGAAAATATATAGAGAGTAAATTTGCTATGAAAAGATGTGTTTGTACCTTAAAGAAAATATATCTCTTAAATTGTTGCTTGTGAAATTATTTAAAGCATTTGATTCACTGATCAAGCATGGTAGAAAGGGAAGGAAATCCCGTATTAAGAATGGAATATCATGTCTGGAATTCTATTCCTTTATAATGGTGTATATGAAGAGCTCCTTTGATTTGTGGAAGTGTTGTTTTTATGCAATCTGGTGATTGGTTACATTTGTCTAAGATGCTTTAAAGTAGAAACTAAGAATATTTAAGGATTTAATTTATATTTTAGTAAATAAATTCAAACTATTAAGTTTCTTTGTATCATGTTTTAAGATTGTTACTGAGGATAGTTTTTAGTTATTTCTAAGCACAGGAATTGGTGACTTCTTAAAATGTTATGTTTGCATGTTAACCTATTTTAGAATGTAATGAAAAGTAAAATCTTTATTGGCTTAGGCATTAGCATTTCTTTTAATTTGGAGTACTTTCTTCAGTTCTTGCAGAAATTATAAAATCATTCTGTAAGTTCATGTATCCTACATGTCAAACCCAATATACAATGAAACCTTTTCTAATTGAATGCATTGATCTTGAGTCCAAAAGATGCAATTTCTTTAAGACAAACAGGCTAAAAGAACTATTTGAAAATATTAAAATAGTTATAACATTCCTGAAATCATTTGGATTATATCTGAAAATATAAAAAAAGATTGTCCATTTTTCCTAAATATAAACCAAAATAAATCAGTTTTGCCATAAAATAGATCTAAAGATTTGATATTCTATTAAAATTCCACTTAAACTGTGAGTTCATAATAGTTGGGTCAAGAGCTTTTCAGCACCCTCTTGTGGACTGAACATTGTGCAGTAAAAATTGCAGATCAAAATTCAATTAATAACTAAGCAGTCATCTTATTCACACACACACACACACACACACACACACTGATTAAGGTACAATTCAAACTTTGATTTTTTTTTTTATAAATATCTCTAATATTTTTAATGTTTTATTGTTTTTACTTTAAATTTTATGTTAATCTGATGAGATGCACAATATTTAAAATTGAGAGCCTAACATTTTATAGTCTCTACTTTTCATCTCTGCCCATCTCCTTCTACCAGCAAGTTGTTCTCTTTACTTTTATTTCCTAAATTTTTTTTTTTATATCTGTCATTGTTATATACTGTACCTATGAACACTAATGGGTATCTTCCAATCCTCAAAAATATGATGAACACTATTGTGAATCAGGGGTAATATACTGTCTAAGTAATCCACCACTAGCAGTGGTTTACCTACTTCATGCTGCTGGCAAGTATTGTATTTTGTAGATGTTATAAAGATTACCATTTCATTTCCAACCTTCATTTTGGTTATTCCTCATTCAGTAACCTTTTATAGGTTACAACAATTGTTTGTTTTTTAAGTGTACATTTGTGCATCTGTTTCCTCACAATTCATGGGATGCTCATTTACCTTCCACTTGCAATAGTTTTTCTTTCATTATTTGTTATCCTCATTTATTAGCTTTAAGCTTTTCATTTTTTGTGTATCAAGCCTCCTCCCCAAATATGGGTTAACTTTCTTAGGGTATGTGAGGGCAAAATAAGATACTGATTTTTATGGCATATTTATGGTGTACTACATGTGCTGATTGTGAGCAAAAAAGGTGGATTTTATATTAATATATGTTTTAAACATTATTTTAGTGGATAGGTCATATTGGAAATAGATGCCCCATTTTTATTTATTAAAATGTGTGTATTATATCAGCCTGTGCATTTAGAGAAATAAAAATAGGGTGTCTGTTTCAAATATAAAATATCCAGTATAATAATGTTTAAATTAATAAAAGTGTTGGATCATAAATAAATCCATTAAATCTTTAGAAATTAATAGATATTGAGATATTTGCAGATTGTGGATTTTGTAAGTATAGCCATAATATTTTTTAGGTATTAGATTTGTCTAATTCTTGAGCCAAACATGGACTTTTCTATTACCTAAATCCTTTCTTGTGTTGTTGCAGTAGTAGTAATAATATCGACTTCTTACATATAGAATTTTTTTTTCTGTTGAAGGAAATCTGTTATTAAAATCTGTATTAAAACTAGATTTATCCTTTGTTAATGTTCATTCCTGCAACTATTATATAAAAATGATTCATTTTTGTGTTTTTAAAGCACTCTTTGGAGATACTGTGTTAGACAACAATATTGACAATTAAGAGCCATGAACCCCTTCCGCTTTTTATTTTTTAAATTATTATTATACACATTTTGTATAATTAATCATATATATAAACTATGATGGTTTTGCAAGAATATGAACATATTGAAGATAATAGATTGTGAAAGATTTCTCTTTAGCTTTGACTTGAACCAATCCTTTTTATAATCACTAAAATGTTTCTTAAAAGATCCCCCAGCCAGCCAGCCATGATAAATTTTGTTAGACAAAGCAGCAGCACTTGTAGCACCAACATCTGTGGTAATAATAATAAATATTACTGTTGACTTGATAGTATACAAGCCAAGTGCTCATTGCACTCCTGGCCTCTGTCAAATCCATTCCATCTTAAAGGCTAACAATCTTTCTTGCTTGACTGCACAAGCAGTGTAAATTTTGTTCTGTAAGTTCTTTGATCTGGGATAATTTAGAATGTTTGATAAAACTAGAACTACCTTTTGCCATTTTTGTTTATTCCAATAAGTTTTTATAGAATTAATTTTTTAATTATAACTTTAAAAACATTTTAGGTTGATTTTCATTTGTTTGCTGTTTCCTTTGTTATATATAAGTGGACATTGAAGTCAACACCCAGAGATGACAGTCTGTTTTATGCTTGAACACAATTGTCATGCCATGGCAATTGCATTCAAGCATGAAACAGTGTTATCTCTGGGTGTTGACTTCAATGTCGACTTTTATATTTATATATACACACTATCCTTGACATTGAGCACTTTGACCAATAAATATAGCATACTTTAAAACTATATTTTATCACACACACACACACACACACACACACACACATATATATATATATATATATATATAGCACATTGAGTGTTGGTGTTAATAAAATAGGGCTTGATGTACTATAACAGTGCTCTTAGGTATATATTAATAAATATACATTTTTTCCTCACTGGTAGCACAACTCGGAATTTCATGCACAACACAATCTTCTGCTGCTGAGTAGAGACTGGCCATTATTTAATTTAAATTTTAATAAAAATATTTGGTTTACACAATGCTGGAGCAATCCACATATTACATCGGGATTACTGTTTTAAAAAAAATTGTATTTAAATAGACGGAATTTATATTTTATATTTGAAATAAATGGGGATTAATGTTTTTTTCTCAAAACTTTGTATTAAAATAAATGGACCTAAAAAAACAAAAAAAAACAAACAATTATATATGCTTCAACATTACTTATGTTGAAGCATATATAAGAAGAAAATTAAATTAGGAAAGGTTATAATCTACAGTAGAAACTAATCTGGATCAGTGTATTTCAACAGGTATTTATTTTTATGCCTACATCATTTCTCTTGTTTAATTTAATTGTTATTTAATTGTTTTTATTTTCCTATAAGACATAAAATACATCTCTTGCATTTCCCATTGTAAGATTTGGTTTTAGCTACAATATCCCATGTGATAATGGGTGTATTACCACCATTCTTGCCAGATATGTTTAGAGAAGGCAGTGCTATTCATATATTTTACATTGCGTAAAGTCATTTGATGATGATAAAAACAAAATTTCCAAGGATTTTCAGTGGACCCAATATAAAAAATTTTACATCACTATTGGAATGTATTGTAGCTCAGTATACAATATTTTTGGTCATACATTGATAGTTTAAGGGACAGGTCATATTTTTTTGACAGTTGCATTATTTTTTGTAAATTGATTAACATTGTTTTTGTTGGTGATATAGTTATTCAGTATAATATTGTTATGATGGGATATTGATTTTTTGATGTTTCTAACACAGCTATAGCTGATCTTTACATTATTTTTGTTAAAAATCTCTAATATTGCTCAATGATTGAAGTGTTTATGAATTAAATTTAGGACAATTCTTCCAATATTCATTTGAACATTACAATTATGGGGGTGGGGGTTTAAACCATATCACATTACAGTGTCTCTGTTCATTTTTACCTTTTTTGTTTGTTTCGAAATACTCTAAATTTATTTTATGATTGCTAAGTTTGTATGCTTTTATATATTTAATCTTATTATTATCAAATATTTCCTTGTTGCTGGAGTTAGTAGATAATATAAATTGGATGGATTTATGCAAATTATTTAAAATACTAGGTGGATGATTGGATTCCTAATTAACATATCTATGGTTATGTAGATCATTGGTATATGGTTTGTAATAACCAGTGCACAAGTCCAAGGTCACATTGCGAATGTTGATCACTTTATTATTGGTGGTTGTGGTAATTTAGTTTGTGATCTTAGAAGAATTTAATCAGTTCCCTTTTTGATTGATCCGTGTTTCTTGGACTTGCTTTACAGTGGGGTATTACACTGTCATCTCTGTAGAGTCCTGTGTCCTTAATGTTGAAAAGAAATTTTTATTGCCACAATAACAAAATTCCAACCAGCCTGCATGCCTTACAGAATCAAACAAACCTATAGCAATGTGAAATTCTGTGTTTCTTTTAGTCCACAATCATTATTATATAACATTATAATATAACCAATTATTAATAAAATTTAAATTATATAATGGCCAGTCTCTACCCACCACCTGAAGATTGTGTTGTGCACAAAACTTGTAGCCATGATACCAGTGAGGAAAAAATGTATATTAACAGCATTGATAAAGGCAATTGAGATGAGGCAAAATAAATCCTTGGTTCATGCCATTTCCTAATATATTACTTATAGAAGATACAGTGGTTTGCTGTCATAACATCCTTCTCCATGTTTTTTTTGATACTCTACTTTTTGTGTGTGTGTGTGTGTGTGTATATATATATATATATATATATATATACAAATTTTTAATTGGTAGGGATTATTCCAAGGACGACTTTAATCCAATGAGAGCTCAATGTAAGTTACAGAGCAATATATAATGATGAGTTAAGAGAACACCTTAAAAATTCATATTTGTTATAATTTATTTCATGAATATTGTTATATTCATCTCTTCAGACTGAATGCTTTTAAGAAATGGATTCAATCCATCCAGATATACTGGGATAAAAAGGACAAAGGGGAATGAAAGAAAATAGTATTAATAATAAAAAAAAACTTTAAAAAAAAAAAAGAAGTTAAAAATAAAATAGAAAAAATTTTAAAATTAAGGGAAGAAAGAAAGAAAGAGGAGGAAAAGGAAGGAATAAATAAATGATGAGCCAATAGCAAAAATAAATAGAATGACCTAGAAAAAAAACTTTCTTAAAAGGGCTGAACAAGTTAATATCCCAGGTGGGGGGAAGGAAAAGGGTGATGGGAAGTAAGAGTTACAACAGTTTCTCTAATGAAGTCATGTCATTTTAGATATTAATGATAAAAAAGTATACATTGCAATTGGGAACAGACACTCTACCATTACTGGCTTTCCTTCTCCAATGCTTCTTTAAGACACCAAACTGCTCTATCGAAAGCATCATTGGAAACTTAAAGATAGAGGCTTCACCCCACAAATTAAATGAGATATTGTTTTCAGTCTCAAAATTCCAACAGTTTCCAGGACAGATACAATCTATGCACACAGATCATAATAATTAAATATAAAAATGCTGACCAGTTATTGAATCAAAGAAATGAACTCCTTTTCAAGTTGACATAGGAACAAATTTAAAATTCCCTAAAAACATTGACTTTGGGGCGATATACACTTGAAATTTTTTTTAAAAATTTTATATGGGTACAAACATGCGTGTATGTGTATTCATGTGTATGTATGTGCATATGCAGTTATATTGCTTGTCACACATTTTTTTAAATATATAGGTCTGTAGATATATTTAATTATTTATGAATGTCTTGCTGATGCTTATATCATTTATAATTTTTTATTTAATAATTTATATTTTATTATTATTAATAGTATTTTCTTTATTTTTACCCTTACCAGTTTTTATATTCTAAATTTGTTTCTTATAATTATGTAAATTTATTAGTTTTATTTATTGATTTAGTTATTTTATTTATGTTGGATATTATTATTAGTTTAAAATGATGATTGCTATCTAAAATGACATGACAAATTGTAGCTTTTTTATTTCTGATCCCACTTTTCCTTTCCTTACACAGTATATTCACTTGTTCAGACCTTTTAAGGAAATTTTTTCTGGGTCATTCTATTTTTTTTAATTTTTTTTTTTTTTGTGCTATTGCCTCATCATTTATTTCTTCCTTCTTTCCTTTCTTTTTTTCCCTTTCTCTCTACCTCTCTTCTTCTTTCTTTCTTTCTTAAGTTTTGAAATTTTTTTTATTTTTAATTTTTAAATTTTTCTTTCTTCCTTTTTTATTATTAATATTATTTTCTTATCTTTTTCCTTTTTTCCATTTTTCCTTTTTTTCCTTTGTTTCTTTTTTCCTTTTTTTCCTTTGTTCTTTTTTCCTTTTTTTCCTTTGTTTTTTTTCTTTTTTTTTTTCTTTTTTTTTTTTTTTTTTTTTTTTTTCCTTTGTTCTTTTTTTCCTTTGTTCTTTTTTTCCTTTGTTCTTTTTTTCCTTTGTTCTTTTTTTCCTTTGTTCTTTTTTTCCTTTGTTCTTTTTTCCTTTTTTTCCTTTGTTCTTTTTTTCCTTTGTTCTTTTTTTCCTTTGTTCTTTTTTTCCTTTGTTCTTTTTTTCCTTTGTTCTTTTTTTCCTTTGTTCTTTTTTTCCTTTGTTCTTTTTTTTTTTTTTTTTTCCTTTGTTCTTTTTTTCCTTTTCCTTTCCTTTGTTCTTTTTTCCTTTTCCTTTCCTTTGTTCTTTTTTTTCCTTTTCCTTTCCTTTGTTCTTTTTTTTCCTTTTCCTTTCCTTTGTTCTTTTTTTCCTTTTCCTTTCCTTTGTTCTTTTTTTCCTTTTCCTTTTGTTCTTTTTTCCTTTTCCCACTTTTCTTTATTCCTTTTTCCTTTATTCCTTTCTTTTTCCTTTATTCCTTTCTTTTTTTCTTTTATTCCATTCTTTTTTCTTTTTCCTTTATTCCTTTCTTTTTTTCTTTTTCCTTTCTTTTTTTCTTTTTCCTTTTTTCCTTTATTCCTTTCTTTTTTTCTTTTCCTTTATTCCTTTCTTTTTTCTTTTTCCTTTCTTTTTTTCTTTTTCCTTTCTTTTTTTCTTTTTCCTTTATTCCTTTTTTTCCTTTATTCCTTTTTTTTTCCTTTATTCCTTTCTTTTCCTTTATTCCTTTCTTTTTTCCTTTATTCCTTTTTTTCCTTTTTCTTTCTTTTTCCTTTCTTTTTCAAATTCTTTTTTTCCTTTATTCCTTTCTTTTTCCTTTTTTCCTTTTTTTCCTTTATTCCTTTCTTTTCCTTTATTCCTTTCTTTTTCCTTTATTCCTTTCTTTTTCCTTTATTCCTTTCTTTTTCCTTTATTCCTTTCTTTTTCCTTTATTCCTTTCTTTTTCCTTTATTCCTTTCTTTTTCCTTTATTCCTTTCTTTTTCCTTTATTCCTTTCTTTTTTTCTTTTTCCTTTCTTTTTTTCCTTTTCCTTTCTTTTTTTCCTTTTCCTTTATTCCTTTCTTTTTTTCTTTTTCCTTTATTCCTTTCTTTTTTTCTTTTTTTCCTAGTATATCTGTCTTTATGGATTTATTTCATTTCTTAAAGTTTGAAGAAATGAATATAACAGTATTCATGAAATAAGTTATAACTGGTATGGATTTTTAAGTTGTTTTCTTAATATTTGTAACCAGTTATAACAAGGTGGTTATGAAGCCTTAATGATTTGTAGTGAGTTGTTCCCAGTGTAGCAGTATCCTTATATATCAAGCATCTTATTGGCTAGCAAATATTTTAGTTTTTCTTTGATTTATATTTAATCTGTATTGTGTGTGATTTTCCTCTCTCTCTCATTCTGTCTGACAGAGTATATGTTTTTGATGGTGTCATCATTTTTATCTTTTTTTCTTTCCTCCATTCTCCATTTTTATCATTTTTCTTTCTTTCCTTCATTCAAATTTTATTTTTTTCTTTCCTTCATTCATAAGTTTTTGTTTCCTTCATTCACCATTTTTTCTTTTCTCTTTTTTTTTCCTCCATTCACCATTTTTTTTCCTTTTGCTTTCTATTATCCCATAAAGTCAGTCAGTTATGTGCCATGCATGATATACACTTAGGCGATCATGTATCTTTTCATATATGACTGACGAGGCAGATTTTTTCCCACATTAGGTTGCCATTTCTTTCTGCGGTAAACCATTTGCCATCCAAGACTATAGAACCTAGTCTGTCCTGCTATTAACCAATAGGTGGGGGAGAAGAGGATTCATACCTTTCCTAAAGGTATCAGCACATAAGTGAATGTAATGGATTGGCTCTTTGATTCCTCAATCCGAGCCGCTATCCATTACTCCACCATGCTTCCTTAAAACTATATTTTGCACACACACACACACACACACTTATATATATATATATATATATATATATATATATATAGAGAGAGAGAGAGCGAGAGAGCTTTACGTGCTTCACTATTTTTGGAACTGCTCCCACTCCTGCATCCAAAATTGGAGCTGACTCCCCTCATACACCCCGTTTTCAAAAAGGAACCACTCCAACTCCATTAAAAAAAAAAAAAAAAAAAAGGAGCAGTTCTTTTTCAGCACTCCATAGTTAAAATGTAACTTCTTTCATAAACAGACATTTATTGGTTAAAAAAATCTTCCAAAAATAATATATATTTGTGACACATTATTTGAGAAAAATTAGCAAATTTAAAGTTAAATTAATCTGATTTGAAATGAACATTACTTACTTTATCATAAAAAAGTAATATACAGTCATTTCAACTGAAAAATACCCCCAAAAAACTAATGCTAAATATTACATTACCACTGATCTAAAAAAAAAAAAAAAAAACACAAGATTTTTAACAAAAATTTCAAACATACTACAAAAAATTAAAAAAATGTTCAAAATAGTTAAAAAAAAAAATAAATACTTTGGTCTTCCTTCTTAATAATAACATAGCATTTTTTGTAATAAAACTTTGTTTTTATTAAGTTTAGGGCCTTTTTCATCATGCTATGCTGTTTTTTTTGCCTACTTTTTTTTTATCTAGTGAATGTAACTAAAATGAAGTATTAAATTATGGTTATTAAATTTGCTTATTAAAATCAATGCTAAAAACAAATAAAACATATTTTTTCAGAAAGCCTCGGTTTTATTGTAAAGAACACATCACAAAATATCAGTTGTTTTCAAGTAATTCCCAACTTAAATAAAATTCATTTTCTTGAAAATATTTTACGATGTCAAATGTAACCTTTACCATAGTTTGTTATACAAATAAGAATTGAAAAGATTTTGATAGATGCATTGTAAAACTTTAGTTACAGTTTTGGGGCAAAAAGTTATTCTTGTCAGTGTTCCAGTTGTTAAGGGAAACTTGTGAAGATACTACACTTTGAACAACAGAGAAACACAAATCTTCTGTTAAGAGTTGTGGCAGTATGTCATATTGTTTCTCTTTCAATAATGTGTAGTAAAATTTGGGAACTATGAAATAAGGGTTGATTAGGAATTGATTTTAGAGCAGTTCTTGAGTGGGGATATGGTGGCTAAAGTTGAATATAAAATGAGCCTCCTTCTTCTTTGCTCTAGTAAAAAGGAGCGTGCCCTAAAGCCGTGTGTGTATACATGCATGCATTAGCCCTGTGTGTGTGTATGTGTGTATATATGCATGCATTAGCCTTAAAGTTGCCCTATTAGGTGGCATTTAAGCTAGCTCCTGTGGAGGGCTCTTGATTGGGCCTTTCTCACAATAGGTAGGGAGGAGTAGATATGATAGGCAACAATAAACTACAGAAGAACTCAAAATTGATCACTGCATTTAAGCATTACATTAATATTTAAGCTTAACTTTTAAAAGTTCAATAATAATTCTTTTACTTAATTTAAGTACAGTTTGATATATGTAGGACCTTACTTTCTGTACAAACAATTATTTTTATTTCATGGGTGACTTTTGCTGGACTTTGCAGTTAATTTTGATTATTCACAAATTTATTTCCAAGTTATAAAAATACAAAAATTACATAGATTGACAGATCAGAAGGTGACGCACAAGGTCCATCACCCACCAGTAAAAACAGTAGTCAACATCAGCCAATATCAGCTGAGTGCCTCTGAGGAGTCAGTATTGAATAATGGTCTCAACTTCGCCATAACCATCAGGCGAGTGCCATACTTGGACATCATTGCCAGAGTTGAGGAGGTGGCCATGAACATCCCTCAGGCTCAGGCAGATGAACGGAGATGGAAGGTGAGACATACCTTGGAGAAGGCCAAGCCGCCCAGGTCTAACAACAAAACTGGAGAGGCTGGCAATTAGATCCCTACAGAGGAACAAAAACATCATCATACTGCCAGCTGACAAAGGCAATGTGACTGTAGTGATGGACAAATCAGATTATACAAGAAAGCTGGAAGACCTCATTAGCAATGGTAGCTACAGCAAAGTAAAAAAAGGATACTACAATGAAAACACAAACTGTCACAGATACTAATCAAGAACAAAGATCACTTCGCACCTAATACGTATAGGCAGCATTACACCAAGCTACCTCACATACACAGTCTCCCTAAGATTCACGACAGTATTCCACTCAGGCCGATTGTTAGTTACCAAGGCTCTGTGCGCCACCCTCTCCTTGTAGATATAATTGACTCATTGACTGGAAAATCTCCTTCATATATCCGAAACTCTGCCCACTCCATGGAAATAATCCAAGATGCTCCCATCCTATCCAACCAGATAGTGAGCTTGGACGTGGTGAGTTTGTTCACCAAGGAACCCATGAAGAAGGCACTCTCTGTAGTCAAAGACAGATTGGCATCTGACTCATCCCTAGAAGAATGGACCAGTATTCCAATAGATAATCTGATGGAGATGTTGACTTTCTGTACACAACACACTTCGGAATGGGATCACACATATATTGACAGGATGAGGACTTAGCAATGGGCTTGCCACTATCACCAGTAATGGTGAATATATACATGAAATACTTTGAGGAAATGGCATTAGAATCTATATCTCTAAAGCCAACTATATGGTTACGGTATGTAGATGACACCTTCATACTCTGGCCACACCAGGAAAATGTTCAGGTTCGACTGGACCATGTGAACTCAATAAGACCTTTGATACAGTTCACTATGGAGAAAGAGAGTAACAACACACTCCCATTCCTGGATGTTCTAATATCTTGAACAGATCATGGGTTTAAGATATCCGTATACCATAAATTGACATTCACCGGACAGTACCTCAATTTCAACTCCCACCATCCATACAGCGTAAAGAAAAGGATTGTCTGCTGCTCACAACACCAAGAAAAAGTCTTAAGTGGCAACCCAGAGGCATTAGATAAACAATTGGTCAGTATAAGTAGTACCCTACAACGTAACAAGTACCCTCGGTACATGGCAGCAGCCCCTAAAAACTGGGATAGGTGGGTACCAGAGGAGGAGGACAACAACACTTAGAAAGCAGTCTGCCTGCCTTATGTGAAGGGGTTATCAGAGAAAATGCAAAGGATCTGCAGTCCATATAACATCAGCGATAATAACAACAAAAATTGCAATATGAGTTCTGGTAAAAACATGTAATAATAATAACAGCAAAAATTGCAATATGAGCACTGGTAAAAAATGGTTGCTGAAGATATTAGGTTTATAATACCCAGAAATTCATACACAGATGAGTTGCTTGATTTTTGTTAACTGATATACAAAAGTGGGAATTTGTGATATAATAGGACAGTTTACTGAATATATAACCAAGCCTATAATCACCTACAATTTCAGAAAGTTCAAAGTGTCCTGTAATATGAAGCAAATTGAATATAATACTGATTCAACTAACCCAAATATATTAACCTTCTATATTGTTACCAAATGTATTCTAATTATGAACAAGAGAAAAATATCCTAAAAGAATTAATAAATACCAACATATCTACTACAGGTGCTAGTAAAAATATTAAGTTAATTATATACTACACTAAATCCAGTATCTCCAACTTAATCATTCATAACGACTATTCCCCACCAACCACTGTGTTACAGAAAACTGAAATTGTATATAAATATAAGTGTCCTGGGAGATTGTATCTCCAACAGAAAAAATAATATTTATGTTAGCCATACTACGGCCACGTTGTCTCGGCAGTTGAGTTTTCATTTGAATGACATGTCTAACATCTCTAAACATTTACGACAACCTGCTTGTCCACATTTACAATTTAGAAAAAAATCTTGTTGAAAATGCATCCATATTTTTTCATGAAAATAAGCTAAAAATCCTTGAAACCATCTATATTAAAAATGTGAAACCAAACCTTAACAAAATTAATTATGAATACTGCTCAAATGTTCTAAAATGTTTACAATAAAAAATCATAAAATATCACGGTCTATATTAATAGCTTCTTATATTATTTACTTGTTTTTTTATAAATAACTTTTCACACCTGTCTATATCTCTGAGATGAGGTATTATGATTACTTACATTATTCAGACTGTTATCCTTATCTTCATTACCATATTCACAACGTTTCAGCTGTTGTATGCTCTGGCCTTCTTCAAGTGATTGGAATTTCGAACCAAACTCTTTCTTTCGTCCACCAGGGTAGATTGTTCTAGTTCCACATGCCATGCCTCTTCTGGATTCTCAGATTATTTCCCTTTAACTCAACTCTCCAAGTTTTTTGGTTCACCACTGCTGTAGCCTGGGTTTAGTCACTGGATCTAACCAACATCTTTATCCACTAGCCCATGTGTAAATAATTAAATAACACTTCACACATCATAATTAGTTACCTCCCCTAGAATGTAACATACACCAGATGGCACAGAAACTAGTAGCCCTCACTCCATATGTAAAATTATAACTTTCAGATGAGCATAGCAATTTTGTCTTTGGAAATAATGAACACTACATTTTTGTCTTAAAAACACAACCTGAAGAAGACATTATATTAATGTTGTAAGTACTTGGAACAAAACAATATGTATCAACACAGTAATTTCCTCTCTTCTTTTAATACTCACACCAGAAAGCTCATCTGAGAATATGAATGGATCCTGTTGAAAATAAACAGACGAAACCTGTCTAAACTATTCAATGAAACTTGCCTCAATGAAAACATACTGCCAAAATATACACAATATATATATATATATATATATATATATATATATATATATATATTTATATATAAATTTCGCTTGAAGATGGAACAGAGCTTGGTACTTTAATTCAATTTAATTCAATTATATTGAAGTTTTCGGCTTTTGTTTTGAAATATGAGAACTCTTATGTAGCGATGGAATCATATTTTTAAATAATTATATTTAGGCTCTACTTTTGTATCAAGCACTGTTTTTTAAAAATAATAACAAAAATACTAAAGAACTTTGGATTATTTAACTAGCGAGTTCTATCCTATTTTCTATATATTTTCACACACACACACACAAAGGGATATTTATGCCTGACACTTCTTGAGGACATGTTTCAGTTTTTTTTTGTTTTTTTGTTTTTTCTTTCATTCTCATAGAGGGTGGGTGGATTTCATTCATCTAGCATTTCACTGTCATCCACCATTTTACGCTCTTTTATTTTTTTTTTCCTTCATTCACCATTTTTTCTTTTTCCTTTCCTTCATTCATCATTTTTTTTTTTTTTTTCTTGTAGGAACTTCGTGAAACTGTCAGTAAGCAAACCGAACAGATCAGAAAACTTAAGAAAACCCTCAAAGTTTATGCACGCAAACTCAAAGATGGCGAAGGTCTGTATCATTATTATTTTTTCTGCTCGGTGATTGTTTTATCTTTTACAGCCATATAACTTTTTTCTTTTTTGTTTCATCTATTATAGTATTTTTACTATTCTCTCATTTTGATGATTGCAGTAAATTTTTTCTTTGGGGGGGGGGAAATGAAACCACATACAATTCATTTTAGGCTTTGATAAATTAAGACCAAATCATTCTATTTGTTTTTGCAGACAGTTGATCTCATTTTTTACTATCTGTCTTTATCAGTAGAGTAAAAGAAGTCAGTTTTCAATCAACAAAATTATTGTATCTGGCTTTTATTGATTCCAGTAATTTTGAATTAAAAACATTGGGGACAATCTTTGATTCATTGATATCAATAAGTTAAATAAAATATTTGATTTAGCCATAATATAAAACAAAAACAAATTTTTGTTGTTTTTTTTTGTAAGGATGATAAATCTCGGAATTTAAGCGATCACAGCATTTCTTCTCAAAATATATTTGGTCAAATATTTTAATAAGGCCTTTTCTGAAAATATCAAGAGATTGCAGATAAAAATGATTGTTTATCATTGTAAAGGATTGTACATTTGGGAAAATGTCCAATATGCTTTGTCTTTTTTATATAATTATTTGAACATAAATAAGTAATTAACACAATGTACAATCAAGTTGATGTTGGATTCTTATGTCTCTGCTGATGATAGGGAATGATTCTATGTTTTGCACTAACAGCAATTAACACTTAAAAAGTAAAATAAAATTATGTTGTATGAAGAGTTCTTTGTTCATTGTGTGTGCCTCTTTAAGTACTCTATGCTTCAATTGTCTATCTATATTCTATAAGCAACACATTGATATTTAAGTTATAAGAAACATTATTCATGACTGAACTTTAACATTATTTTTTTCTTTCTATAAGTCTTTCTTGTGTAATTTTTTTTAAAAATATCCTTCAACTATTTTTTCTTGTCAGTTAAATTTTACCTTTTAACATTGTCTTTTTCTCTCTTGCCCACTCTGCAACATATTAAAAAATATATATGTATACCAGGTCCTTTCCGAAGATTCCAGAGTCTTGTATCGGCTACATCTTTAAGCCCTACGTCGGGTAAGCCACTTGCCATCTGCTCGTGCCCATTGATCTGTAGCAGCAACAGCTGCATCTTTCAGCATGAAACTCTGAACACTGACTCCATGCTCCTTGTACCATCAACTGCATCAAATAAGCGTTTTCCATTTTTGTTTGCTCCTCCCTCCCCATCTCAATTTGTGTTTGTTTTTCAAAATCTTTTCTCTAAGTTCCTCCCATTACTCTTGAAGCCTTTTGCTTTACTGTATCCAATTTTGTAAAAAAATTTTCTGTTTCTTAATTTTGACTGGTTATATTTTTATTCTTTTTTTATCTGCATGTTCTTTATAGTTTCATGAAATCCCAAGTTCTCTTCAACTTTGTTCAATTTATCATCTTCCTACTGCTTGAATTGCTCTGTCATTGAATTAACCTTTCACATATCATTTCTGTACAACTACTAAGGATAATTTTCAACTAATACATGTGTTGTATATTTAAAAATAAAATTCTGAGGGATTTCTGTAATTGTGAAGAAGCAGATGGAAGTGTTAAGAAACCTGCTGTTAATCTTGTATGAAAAAATGAAAAATAAAAAAAAATTTTTAAATTTGTCACTTTCTAAACAACATATGGGCCTATCGTTTTACATGTGGACTTAGAAAAATCTCAAAAATACCACATTTTGGTTATGTTGTTTAATCTCCTAAATTTAAGATGTCCTTTTTTTTTTTTTTTTTCAAAGGACAACTTATACAGGTTGGATTTTCAAGATAATACTCTAAATGAGGACAATTTCATCTTTGTAATCCCCTCCCTCTATTAATAACTTAACAGACTGATAGCACCTACCATTTTTGTTATTGTGACAATGTAACACTTTGGCAATTTGCTTTAGATTCTTAAATCCATCAACAAACATTGAAAAACATTTTTTTTTGTAATTATACTTCATGAATGAATAGTTCCACTTATTCCTGCTGGAAAACCAAAAGATGTGTTTAGATAAATTGGTGAGAATGTCAAGTTACATACTCCCCTTTCCCGAGTTTTTGCAGTAATAAACTGACCTAAGAAAAAAATGATGCAGTTTCTTTTTTGTATAATTTCCACTTGGCCATTTCCCACTACTTATGTCCTAAGAGGATATGACAATATATGGCAATAAATAACATTAGCCATTGTGAATTTTCAGAGAGTTCTAAGAGCAACAGAATCTGTAATTTGATGCCAAACTTGAGGTTGATTCTCTCTCACACACACACACACACACACACACACACACACACACACACACAGTCTCTCTCTCATTCTCTCCCTCTCTCTACAATTTAAATTATAAAATATACTTGCATATGATAATTATAATAAACTATACTGACAACAAAAAAAACTCCAAAAAAACAAATGTCTGCTATCTAGACAAATGATACTGAGGCGAATAAAGAAAACAGCAACCAGCGAGTAAAATTCAAGCTCTCCCAGCTGGTATTTCAACCTTGAATCGTTCCTTCTTGAGTTCTGTCTCAAAATCGCACTAACAGACTGTTCTTGCCGCCAACCGTGAACGTCACTCAAAGAACTCCTCCACTGGGAAAAAAGTAGTTGCTTTTATATTTGTCCATATACCCATAATCCCTTGCATCTTCATGTGATCCCATAATTCATTCATTCAATGCAAGTCCCCCCTCATTCTTTTACGTTATCTGGCCGAGGACGGATTATGGCAGAGCAGTAAGTGCTTTTTTCTCCCTCATTTCAACTGCAGTAGCTTTACATGCTAAGCAAATACGGGCTCTTTTTTGGCGGGGACAAAACAAATCATCCCAGGTTCTGTCTCATGTCCGCCACAGATACTCTCTTGTAAATTGAGTGCAAATCAATTATCAGAATTGTTCTCATATGTCATGACTTTTTGTTTTATTTTTTTTTAGATATATACCTAGCATATTTATGTTGAAAGGAAACAATGTTGTAATTAATACTAGGTCTCCCCAGTTATATGTATGTGCAAGAATAAGACATCTCTATTTTCAACAAACCTAAACTCTAATTAATTATTCTGAAATATGAAAAGAAAAAAAAATTACCGAAACATTTTCATTTTAATTTTCAAGTTGTTTAATTGATAAAGAAGTACTAAAAAGTTTTTAGTACTTCTTGTTTCTCCAGATCTAACCAACTTTTTTTAAAGCCTTTTTGGTTTGGGCTGACAACCCCCACCAACCCCAATATATTTATTGTTATTCTAATTATTACACATTAGATTTTTTTCTAAGATTTAAACTCTAAAAACCCCAAATATTGTGTTTGAATTTGGTATCATGCTTTAGTAAACACTTTTTTTCTATCATAATATATAAACCAGAAAAAATTTGTTGATGAGTGGGAAAATTATTTATTTGCTTAAATATTTGAAATCCCTCCACTTTGCTAAGATAAAAGTTTTAGACATTACTTGGAATTTTGCTTCCACTTCTAAGAAACTAATGAAGTTTAATTGGATGTTAAATTTTTTTTTCACTTTCCTGGCAAAAATGTTAAAAACAGACTTAAAAAAGGGTTTAAATAATTTTCAAAATAGCCAAGAAAAGATTTTTTTTACAATATGGCATGGTGATCCAATTACCAAGAATCTAATCCTATTTGGTACTAGAATATTTCATAATTTACAGCAAAATAATGAAGACCTGTATTAGAACAGGAAATAATTGAATTTCATCATAAATGTTCTGTATAATTTTGTATTTTTCATTGGCATTCAGAAGTAAACACCCAAAAAACATTGAATATAAGGCATGTTTCAAACTGATGTTTTGCTTACAGTGCCATGTGTTAAGGAACTCTCTTAAATTGATTGTTATCACATAGCAAAACAAAAATTGAGAGACTCAATACCCTTTTATCCCTAATTTTTTAAATGTGCATAATCCATAAAAAAACTCTATTCTTGTTAATCCTCATCCGTATGTGTTTCCAACTAGAAATCCTTTTGTGGAGACTGAGTTTTGTCATTTGTATACGCAATATCATCTTGGTAATTTTATTTTTATCTGTCAGTTTTATTTACATATCAATGTGCACCATTATATGCAAAGTGTTTTTGCTATTATTCTTTAGATGATCCTATCTGCACACAAATGCACATTGATCAGAGGAAATTCACATCACACCAAAACTCACCTGAGCACAAAAGGAAGTGAATGCCACTTGCACAGGAGAATAGAGTAGATTTTAAGCAGAAGCTGCCACATTACTTTTTTGTGGTAATAATAATAATTGCTTGGTACAGTCTTGAAAGGTAATCCAAAAACCAGAATAAAATGAAAAGCACATGATATGCTATTTTGTTCAGCATTTCTATTCTAGTGCTTAGACTTTGTTCTGATTCACTTAAACAAATGCATGTCCTTATTACTAAAAGTAAAAAGAAAGCAATAAGTTGCAAATTTTGATTGATACATTTAGCCTATGAATCTTTTTCTGCCAAATTACCTCAAAGCTTCTTGTAATATTTGTTACTATATGAAAAACTGTTTTTGGCAGCTGAGCAACAATCAGCATCAGTTTTCAACTTTCAATACATTTTAAATAGTTATGAATTGTTTTTCTACAGGGCATTGCGTAAGGGAGGAAAAATCTTGAGTTTTTTTGGAGTTATTGAACTGAACAATATTTTTTTATTTTTCAATCTGAATTTAAATTTGCAAATGTTGAAACCCATATTTTGTTCTATATTAAAATATATGAATTTTGATCATACTAAAGAATTGTAAAGAAATCCCATAAATATTGTAATCTTTTTTCCCCTCAAGCAGTGGCATTCTCCACTTTTCTTGTCTCTTGTTCTTGTTTTGGAGTTCTGTAGTTTTTAGTCAGTCACCATTCACTTTGTTTTGTGTGTGCATGTATGTGCATCATTTGATGTTTTAATTTACATGGTTATTTTCTATTTTTATTTATTGTATTCATTGGCCTTTATCTATTTTTAGATCTATTAAAATGCTTTCATTTAAATGATTTAAATTTTGCATTATTGAAAATCAAAGTAAGAAAAAAAATTGAAAATATTGAATTAAGTAAACTAAAAAATATTTTTTTAAATTTAACATTGAAACTTGAAGTATTTATTTTAAAATGTTTTCCATAGAAAAATATTAAAAAAAACTTGTTAAATTTTTCTTATTGAATGAATTTTGTAAAAATTTTAAAAAATTTCAAATTGTAAATAAGCTTGACTAATGACATCTTTTCTTTCTTGGTCTCTATTTCATTGATTTTTGGGGTTTTTTTTCCTCATATGTTGCATTGGTAATAAAACTTGGTTTGTCATATATAAAAAGTTATATGAAAAAACATTTTTCATTAAATTGTTCAAAGAAAGAGCCATGGCTTTTCCCTATCCACCTTTTAAAGAACTCTTACAGTGATAAATATTATTGATGCAGTATATATGAACCAGCCAAATATTTTCTGGGAACACCCACTTCTTGCTGGATGCTTTGTAATTCTCACCCAATCAATAGTTTCTCAAACCTAAAAAAAAAATCACTTGGTTTTTACAGTTCAAATGTTGGATGTATTTCGTACTGGTATTCACTATTTATGTACAATGGTTTTATTCTCAGCAAAATGATATTATGCTTATAATATTTGTTCTTTTGAGGTTGTTTAATTTTTTTTTTTAGTTCCATATTTGTTTTTTATTTGAAAATATAGATCTCTCTTGCTTTGGTCTTGTTTCTATCATGTTTACTTATGAGAAATCTATTAATGCTTCCATTCATTGCATGAGATTAGCAATGTTGTAGCAATGAAAGGTTGCTTATGAAGATCAGTTTATTTAATGGAAACCCAGTCTCTATCTTGTAGGGTTTTTAATCAATTTCCCAAGTACATAGAAGTTGGCAGAGAAAATCTTTTGATTCTTAACTTCCTGGAACTTGGAAATAAAATTCCTGGAAATAAATTCTTGCAAATGGTAATAACTGCAAACTGTCAAGGTGCATTTAATCAACAAAACTGAAAATAAATATTAC